TGTCCCTGTCCCTGTCCCTGTCCCATCCCTGTCCCATCCCTGTCCCTGTCCCTATCCCTATCCCTGTCCCTGTCCCATCCCTGTCCCTTGTCCCCTGTCCCTGTCCCTGCCCCTGCCCCTGTCCCTGTGGCAGATCCAGGAGAGGGCAGAGGGCAGAGGGATCCATCAGCGTCCCCGGGACCCCCGGGATCACCTCTGGGGGCCTGGGAATGGGGACAGATCCCGGGATGGGGACAGATCCTGGGATGGGGATGGATCCTGGGATGGGGATGGACCCTGGGATGGGGATGGATCCTGGGGATGGATCCTGGGAACGGGGATGGATCCTGGGGATGGATCCTGGGAACGGGGATGGATCCTGGGAATGGATCCTGGGGATGGATCCTGGGAATGGGATGGACCCTGGGATGGACCCTAGGGACAGGGATGGATCCTGGGAATGGGGATGGATCCCAGGAACGGCGATGGACCCTGGGGATGAACCCTGGGGATGGGGATGGATCCTGAGAAAGGGGATGGATCCCTGGTCCCAGAACTACCAGATTCCCTTTCAGGTACTGAGAGATTCCATATCCCTGATCCCAGTGATCCCGTACCTGCTGGCACTGGCGGGCGCCGTCGCGCTGATCCCATACCCCACAGACCCCACAGACCCCACAGACCCCACAGATCCCATACATGCCGTACCTGCTGGCACTGGCGGGCGCCGTCGCGCTCCCGCTGCAGGCGCCGCAGCTCGGCGGGGTCGGGGCGGTGCCCCCCGGGCACCCGGTACCCCTCGGGCCGGGGGGCGCTGCACATCTCGCAGCCCGGGCGGGTGGGCTTGTTCAGGAACGTGCACCGGGGGCACGGCCAGCCCTGGAACGGGATGGGATTGGGATTGGGAATGGGATTGGGATTGGGAACGGGATTGGGACTGGGAACGGGATTGGGATTGGGAATGGGAACGGGAATGGGATTGGGATTGGGAACAGGATTGGGAATGGGATTGGGAACGGGACACATCTCGCAGCCCGGGCGGGTGGGCTTGTTCAGGAACGTGCACCGGGGGCACGGCCAGCCCTGGGAACCGAACGGGATTGGGAACGGGATCGGGATTGGGATCAGGATCAGGACCCCTGTCCGTACCTGCTCAGGTGAGGGCGGGCGGGGCTCAGGGCTGTGGGATTGGGATCAGGGATGGGGATCAGGAATTGGGATCAGGGATCAGCTGGGAACGGGATTGGGATTGGGAACGGGATCGGGATTGGGATCAGGATCAGGGATTGGGATCAGGGATGGGGATCAGGAATTGGGATCAGGGATCAGGATCAGGATCAGGGCAGGACCCTCCCCTCATCCGTACCTGCTCAGGTGAGGGTGGGCGGGGCTCAGGGCTGTGGGATTGGGATCAGGGATGGGGATCAGGAATTGGGATCAGGGATCAGGATCAGGATCAGGGCAGGACCCTCCCCTCATCCGTACCTGCTCAGGTGAGGGTGGGCGGGGCTCAGGGCTGTGGGATTGGGATAAGAGCACGGAGAAAAGGAGAAGCAAGGAACGGGAGCAGGAGGAGGAAGGAGCAGGAGCACTGCGATGAAGATGAGGAGAAAGGAGCAGGATGATGGTGATGCTGAGGAAGGAGCAGGAGCAGGAGCAGGAGCAGGCTGAGAATGGTGAGGAAAGGGCAGGCCGAGGATGATGACGATGGAACAGGATGAGGAAGAAGCAGGAGCAGCAGACTGAGGTTGGTGAGGAAAAGAGAAGCTGAGGATGGTGATGATGGAACAGGATGAGGAAGAAGCAGGAGCAGCAGACTGAGGTTGGTGAGGAAAAGAGAAGCTGAGGATGGTGATGATGGAACAGGATGAGGAAGGAGCAGGAGCAGGAGGCTGAGGTTGGTGAGGAAAAGGCAAGCTGAGGATGGTGATGATGGAACAGGATGAGGAAGGAGCAGGAGCAGCAGACTGAGGTTGGTGAGGACAGAGCAGGATGAGGATGATGATGAGGAAGGAGCAGGCTGAGGATGATGAGGAAAGGAGCAGGATGAAGATGGCGAGGAAGGAGCAGGCTGAGGATGATGAGGAAGGAGCAAGCTGAGGATGATGAGGAAGGAGCAGGCTGAGGATGATGAGGAAGGAGCAGG